GCTTGGCGGCCGGAGCTGTCACCCTGCGCGCAAGGTGGGGGTGCAGGCCAAGGCCGGCGCGTGGCTCTTGTCGCGGTGTTGTCGTTAACGTGATGCAGGCCGGCGTGTGCTGCAGAGAGGCGGAACCAGTGGGCGGCCAGCGCAGGGTGGCCTCAGCGCCAGGCAGTGGCAGGTGAAGAACGAGTCCCTGGAGGTGCGCACGGGACCAGGAACCGTCCACGTGCTTGAAGCCCTGTCCCAGATGCGACTGCAGGTCCCGCCAGACCTGAAAGAAGGGAACAGGGGTGTATGTGCCAGTTGTGGGAAACTCGATGCCCTTGTGACCACTCTGTCACCATGGTCTCCAGAAGTGACAAGCTCAGGAAAGGCCCTGAAACGGAGTGCCCCAGCCGTGGACAGGGGCCCAGCAGGGGCAGTTCAAAGCTCCATGGGTCGAAGCTGTCCATCCAGCATCCTGCAGCCCCAGCTACTTTCTGACAGTTGTGAAATCGCTGTGGCGCTCAAATGTGCTGCCTCACGAACGTCTCACAGGAAAGCAAGAGCCCTGGGGGGCCCAGAGAATTAGGGTGGTGAAGTCGTATGGGCGACCCCCATTCCTCCGCATAGGAAAGCATTGGTGTGCTGAAAGACCTGGTAATGACATCGCTTAAAGAGTTTCAGGTTGGTCAGGGCTCAGAGGCAAGGCCAGCACGTACGACTAAAACCGGGGAGTGTGATCAGGACGCACTGCAGCGCACGTCAAGATCAGGCGGGAGTGTGTGGCGGCTGGGAACGGTGGGTCCCAAAAGGCCAGGCTCAGCCAAGCCCCCCCAGGCAGAGAGTGTCCCTGAGTGACTGCTGGACTGGCCCACTAGGCCCTCGACTCAGGATGGCCCATGTTAGGCTGTCAGAAACTCTTTGATGTCACGTGGAGCAAGGAAGTCAAGGTCACCGGTGACGGTGACGCAATCCATTCTTGGGTGGTTATTGGGTGTGCTTGTCACCGACAACACCTGGGGACATGAATTCTAAGCCCCACCCTAGGCCCCTCCCACTGCTCAGAATGTGTAGCATCCTCCCCCGAGAGCACAGTCACAGTCATGCCAGACACTGGCTCCTCGGTCACCTAACACCAGGCCTAGGCTGTAAGAAGAGCCATCAACGCCGTCTGTTAGGCACAAGGTAACCCCGTCTCTTAGACACAGGAGTACCCCATCTCTTAGACACAGGAGTATGCCATCTCTTAGACACAGGTGTACCCCCTCTCTTAGGCACAGGGGTACCCCGTCTCTTAGACACACAGGTATACCTCATCTCTTAGACACAGGTGTACTTTGTTTTGCAGATACTGCACTTTATCAACAGAACTCCTGTGGTAACCCTTTGATGCCATGTCTGCGGCACTGTTTTTCCAACAAGCGCTTGCTTTCTTGATTTCTTGCTTCCTTGCTGCGTGCCTCTGTAACATTTTTCTCATTCTCACAATATTTCACACTTTTTCATTATTATATTCCGTAAGTAACAGCCTCCCAAAGCACGAAAGCCAAGCCCACTGCCAATTCTGACTTCTGTCAGCCTTGCATTGGTTTCAGAGGTTGTAAACTTTTTTTGCTTTATTTTTGTATGTACCGTCAAATCAGATCTGACTAGTACAGAAGGAGACTGCCCCTCCTTCTCCAGCAGAGCATCTGACACCACTGGGCCAATTGGCAGCATCAGTATGGATGGGGAAGAGATTAAGATAGTTAACAGTTTTAATTTGCTTGGTTCTACAGTCAACACTCTTGGCAGCAGCAGCCAGGAAATCAAGAAAGGAATTACATTGGGAAAACCAGCTGTGAGGGACCTCTCAAGAGTACTGAAGAGCAACAACATCAGGCTGGAGACTGCGGTGCACCTGATCCAGGCTATAGTCTTTGCAATTACACGCTATGCATCAGAGAGTTGGACAGTGAATAAGGATGATAGAAAGATAATTGATGCCTTTGAGCTGTGGTGCTGGAGAAGAGTGTTGAATATACCATGGACTGCTAGGAGAACAAACAGGTTTGTGCTGGAGAGGGTGAAGCCAGAATACTCCTTGGAGTCAAGATTCTGAAGCTTCGTCTGACATATTTGGGGCGTGTTACAAGGAGGGACTGGTCCTTGGAGAGGGACATCATGTTTGGAAGAGTGGAGGGACGGCACAGGAGAGGAAGACCTTCGATAAGATGGATCAATTCTGTGAGTGGAGTGGTGGGAATGAGTGTGTTTGAGATGTCGAGGTTGGCACAGGATAGAACAGCGTTTAGGACTCTTGTACACAGGGTCACTATAAGTCACAAGCGACTCAATGGCACATAACAACTACCTCCGGGATTGCAGTGCAGCTTCTTGCCAGTAGGCCACCAGAGCTCCCCCCGGTTATAAATTTTTGTGGAAGGAGGTTGTTCACCTCTCTCCCAAGGAGTGGCTGGTGGATCCAGACTTTCAACCTCTTGGTAAGGAATTTAATGCCTTACACCGAAGCTCCTTTAATCAGTATCCTGTAAACCTAATTTTTGCATGCTCTGTTGCTGCTGCTGTGGTGGTGGTTGTTGTTGGTAGGTGTCACTGAGTCAGGTACAATTCATATAGCAACCCTGTGAGCAGCAGCTCTAAACCCCATCCTTTCCTGCTCCATCCTCATCAGCTCTGACACACTGGACACCACTGCTGCAGTCACTGTGTCAAACCATCTGATTGAAGGTCTTCCTCTTTTGCCAACCCTTCACCTTTCCAAGCATGATGTCCCTCTCCAAGGAGTAGCCTCTTCAAGCAACATGTCCAAAGTATGTCAGACGAAGCTTCAGAATCCTTGACTCCTTCACCATCTTTGCCTCCAAGGAGCACTCTGGCTGCACTTTCTCCAAAATGTACCTGTTCGTTCTCTTGGCAATCCATAGGATATTAGTACTCTCCCCCAATACCACACTCAGTGACATCAAGTTGTTCCGTCATCGTTATTCATTGTCCAGCTCTCAAATGTATAGCAAGTTGTTGAAAAGACGGTAGTTTGAATCAGGCACACTTTGATCTTTTTTTTTCTCTTTCTTTTTTCATTGATATTTTAGCAAATGTTTACAGAAGATTGGATTTCCATTCATTCATTCATTCATTGTTGCACATTTTCCTCCCTACCCTACCCCCAGTGCACTTTTCTCTTTAAAAAGATTCTTTCATTGTTGCACAATTTCCTCCCTGCCCCCTTTCCCCCCCTCCCGCCCCCAGTACACTTTGCTATGCACCTTATTCTGGACTTTTGTCATGCAAATAATACCTAGTCATATATTTATTTTAGACAGTTCTTTCCCTTATCTATTTAAATGAGGAGTTATTTATCCCTCTTTTCTTCATTTCCCTGAAACCCCCATGTCAGTCCTGTTTATAACAGTGCCATTATGCAATATTTGTCCTTTTGTGACTAAGATATTTCATCCAGCATAGTGTCCTCCAGGGCCATCCATTTTTTATTATTCTTTTTATTATTTGTTGTGGTGTGTACTGTCAAATTGGATCTGACTGGCACAGGAGAAGATTGCCCCTCCTTCTCTAGCAGAGCATCTGCTGGATTCAAACCACATACTTCTGGGATTGCAATGCAGCTTCTTGCCGCTAGGCCACCAGAGCTCTCTATGGGCCATCCATTTTTATAATATTTTATGAGTTCCTTGTTTTTCAGTGCTGTATAGTATTCCATAGCTTCTCAATCCATTCACTTGTTGATGAGCACTTGGGTTGTTTTCATCTCTTTGCTATTGTGAACAATACAGCAATAAACATGTGTGTGCATATATCTGTTTGGGTGGCAGTTCTGGTTTCTTTAGAGGATATTCCCAGTAGTGTAATTGCTGGATCAAATGGCATTTCTATTTCCAACTTTTTTTGTTTAAGAATAATTGCTTTTTAATTTAACAAAGCAAATCACCAATGTTTTATCTTCCTTTTACTATGCATATATTTCCTTTTAAAATTTATTATTAATTTCAATGAAAGTTTACAGAGACTTTGAATTTCCATTCATTCGTTGTTGCACTTTTCTCCCCTCCCAACCCTCCCCCCTAGCACACTACTCTCTTGGAAAAGTAAAAGAAAAATTCTTTGTTTTACAAACCCTCCCTCCAGGTCCATTCCACTATGCAGCCTTCACGCTGGACTCCTGTCATGACAAAAGTACCTAATCACATATCCCTTTTAAACGGTTTTCTTCCTCATCTGTTTCAATGCAGTATTCATTATTGAACCCATCTTTCTCAATCTCCCCCTAACCCCGAGGTCAATCCTGTCTTATAAGAGTGGCACCATGCAGTATTTGTTCTTCTGTGACTGAGATACTTCACTCAGCATAATGGCCTCCAGGGTCACACATTTTGAATAATATTGCATGGGTTCCTTGTTTTTCAATGCAGCATAGTATTCCATTGTGAATATACCACAGCTTCTCTATCCATTCGTTTGTTAATGGGCACTTGTTGTTGTTATGTGCAGTCAAGTCGTTTGCGACTCATAGCGACCCTATGTTCAACAGCCCTAAACCCTGCTCTATCCTGTGCCCAGCACCACAGCTCAAAGGCATCAATTCTCCTTCTATTCTCCCTCCCTAGTCATTGTCCAACTCTCTGATGCATAACTAGTGATTGAAAAGACCATGGCCTGTATCAGGCACACGTTAGTCTCCAGA